AGTGATAATCAAGTGCTCTACAGCCTTGCTCTTTCTTTCTCTTCAAAAGCTCCACTCTTAAAGAAGTTATGAGTGTTCAAGCAAAGGGTATTGCCCTGATCCCACCCACTCTATACCCTCTCTTAAATGGCCAGAGACCAGACTTTTAGTGGCCAGAAGCCACAAAAAATCGATGGTGAAGCTCAGAACCTGCGACAGTGGTAACCTATACACCTTGTCCCTGATACGGAATAGGCGTGGCATTTGAACGACATAGGACGTTGCTCGTGGGATGTTTCATTTTGAGACAACTGTCATTCCGTTGTGTGTTGGACAAAGGCATGATCACAATTGTCTCAGAATGAAAATATCTCACTAAAAGCACAGGCACCGTTGAAGTACGCAGCCACGCCTACCGCATCTCAGGAATTTCGAGTGTATTTCTAGGAAGATTGGATTTTCTCGATTTCCAAGGTTGTGCGATGCCTGAGCGATTAATTGATTATGAACTTTTCTCATTGTAGACATAAATCGACAAATAAAATGTCTAGATTCCTCGGAAATTCTCCAGTCAGCTGTCAGTCTTCCCACTCTATGCAGTAATCTCCAACCTGTTCCCTCAATGGCGCATTCTGGTTACAAGATCAATCGCTTAGGATCCCCGACCGATACTAGAGATCTCTCAAGGTGCAAGGTCACCGTATTCTCCTGAACTCCATTTCTTGGACTTTTATTGTTGGATAACTTGCTGAAGTGGAAGCGGGACGACTGAAAACTGTCTATCTCTCCTGGCTAGCTTTAGCAGTCGCTCCCCACTCAATCCAACATGAATTAATCGCACCACATGGCGCTACGCGCCAATGAAACCTGCATGTCCACTTCTGGTGAAGCCTTCGTTTATGCGAGCCGCAAAATGCAATCATGTCATAAATGTTGCTGGGACGATTGGACAACTATGTACATAATGGCCATTCGCGACCAATAACTCCTCGATCAAGCTGGGCTACAAAGTCCGAACCCTGCCCTTCTCATAGCACTTGTGGGCTTTATGAAGATTTGTGAGCAACTAGAAGTCTTTCTGCCCATCGATTACCAGAATATGTGGGGAACTTTCCCTCACTAGGACCCTCACGATATCGAAGGGCATTGAGGGTAGGTACTCTAACGGAGTTCCAGAAGTAGAAGTAAAGAAGAAGCATTTTTTTCCCGTCAAGGGAGGGGGAAGTGCTGTGGAGGAGTTTTCTGCTCAATGTGACATCCCTCAACTGAGTCATGGATTCTACAATCATAATATGCCCTGATTGGGAGATAGAGGAACCAGAAGTGCTTCTTCTTCATCTTTCTTGTGGGACATGGGAAATCTGAAGAATTCGTTGAGAGAATAACGAGGACATCTTCATTAAGAGTATTCCAGCGGGGCAGCTTTCGTTTGACGACCAGCTGAGTTGTTTCATCACGGGTTCCCCATCTATGTCCGACACCGTTGGGCGCCCCCACATTCCAAATCACTTGTTCGACGATCGTATAGCCTTGCCGTCCCGCGACGCAGGACCTAATCCCTGCGCACCTCTTCCCTGTCCCACGCCCTTGTTTCCCCTCCATCCCCCCCCCCCCCGGCCCGGTGTCCATGCATTGGATTCCCAACGGTTCGAACAGATCACTCAAGGAAGGAAGAACAATAGTAAAATTCAGAATCAGACAATCCCACCAATAAGAGAAGCCTACTCAGCTTAGCCTGAGTATGGTCTCTTATTACTAACTTTTCTTTCCACACGAGTTCATATAAATATCTTTTTGTCAGTTCGAGCCATCGGAACTACAACTGTCTATTTTTCTCAAAGTTGATGCGAGATATCTAGACCCTCTCCTCCTCGCTCGGGAAGAAAATCTTCAGGCAAGGTTGCGGTAAGGTATCGGCCCGTTCGTGAAGTCTGCTCGAGCGGAGAAGAATTAAGAAAATAATTGGTTTGTTATTTCGCGCTCAGCGAAATTCTTCTCAAACAGCAGACGTCCCTTACCCAGCTAGAGTCTGCTCTGTTCGAATATCCAGTTATTTTACTTCTTGATTTTGGCTATTATAGCTTACTATTACTGATTAACAACAGCCTCAAAAACTATAAAGCCTTCGCTTAACCGTTTGCCGATACTAACGCATGTACGCACCAGCCCACCAAAGTTAAATGTGTGAGTGCGTAAGTTACGCATAAGCCGTCAAGCTGAGAGAGACAACGCCTGGAGCGTAACGGATAGCGCACTCGCCCGGAAAGCGTGAGGTGCGGGTTTCGACTCCCGCCTTGGGGCACGACTTTTGTCCACAACTCAGCACTCTTGTGATAACTTGACTATTATGTTTTATTTTACTTCCCACCTGACAACTAACACTCCTATCTGATTTCACTACCTTGATTTCACTGAATAGGCCATCTAGCCGTTCTACCCAAAATCCGTCCACCCCTTTGCAGAGCCATTCGTCAAAACCGCGCTCACCTACTTTCTACTTGATGTTTTTGGAAAGCGCTGTCCTTTTTGTATCCGAAGGCCGGTGTTCAAGAACCAGAAGTTGCGGTGAAGCAAGCAAGGAGATGCGATGGATCTATCTCACCTAACTGCATGCGAAGCAACTCGTAAACGGGTTAGAGGCATACGCTACAGCCACTTGACAATAATGGACGTTAAGAAATGTCCCAGCAATCAACCTAAGCGCTCTTACACAAAAACGCGCGTTACCGACACTAAACTGCTTTTGTAAAACAGTTTGAACCGTTCTTGATTCTCTCCTTTTGCAAGAACGATTCACTGTTCCCCTTAGAAAACGGGGAAATATGGGAACCGCCTTCCATGTTTTTGGACCCGATCCTTCCTAGAGCTCCAGGGAAAGATTCGGCTGACTGGTCAAATCGTGGAGAACGCCCACAGAGCTTGGAAGTCATCGCAGTGAACGACCAAGTATCCATCCTACCTTTTACCCCCGGGGGTTCGTACCCGGTCACTGAAGGGAGGGGTCATGCTTGGCCTGAGTGGGTTCTCTGGTTGGTAGTTTTTCTTTTCACAGGAACTACATACATCCTTTTCTGTCTAGTTCGGCAGCCATGCAGAACTACAGTTTCTTATAGTTTTCTTACAGTTATAAGGAGGCATCTAGCCTCTCCCCTCTCAACGGGACCGCGAATCTTGCTCAAACCTTGGAGAAAACTTGGGAGCTTGGGAGCCAACGCAGTAAACTGCCAAGTTTCCATCATATCTTTTACCGTAGTCCCCTTAAAAACGAAACTGTTCTGAAGAATTTTAAGAAAGATCAAAATGATAACTCACTAAGAAGAAAGAACCGGGAATCGCGAACGTCTGCTTGTACAAGTAGGCACAAATGAATAGCGTTGTAATGTATCCGAAGTGGTCGTCCTTATAACGACGAAACCTCTCGGCCAATACTGTGAAGTTTTCGAATTGCTTTGGAAGCTCGAATGCCGCTGAAAATATAGCATTTTAATATTTTATGGCAACTGTTGTTCATACAATTTATTTTTCTTCATAATGCAATGGAAAACTGGACAATTCAATCAAGAAACAAAAATCTAGTTAGAAAATAATCACACCGTCGGTCAACGTCTTTTGATAAGCGATGTGTTATTTCTATTTTATTGAGAAGAGGTATGGTTGTTGAATCCGAGTTTTCTCTTTTTTTCGGACGATTCTCAGATACTAGCCAAGGCGATGGGTGGGGGGGCATTTTGCACTTTTGCTACTTCCCATCTATCTAGACAGCCTCTTCTCGAGTTGACAGGTTCACCATGATGGCTCGATGAGCTTGCTCCAGCTTCACAAGAGTTCACAGGTTTCATCAGGTAAAGTATGCAAACCGGAACTAGTGGAGCAATGAAAGTGCAAAATGCCCCCGTCGCCGAACTGCGCCACTAGCCAATACCGAGTTTGAGGAAATTTGCCACTAAGCAAAAAGCTTTCACAACATACTGGAATTACTATGGGATGAAACATTGCTAAGCTAGAGCTATGGCTTCGAAAATACTGCGCTCCAATCCATTCAGAAAGCTTACAGCTTGAACCAAGTCATAACGGTTCAGGGCGGTGGCGGGAAGGCGGAATGAGCCCGCCTCCGGCTGCCTTGTTCTACCAATGGCGATCGGTTCGCGAGCGATTTACATAGGAAGACAACGATCAGTGTGTAACTCGATGATCCACCCTTTTCAAAGCCTCCTGAATGGTTGGGATGTTATCACTCCATGCAATGGGCCAGTCAGTCAGTGAGCAGGTCAGGACTTTTCCTAAAATCAGTCCAGCCAACTGAACCCTGCGAGGGACGCGAGGTTGTTCTCTGATGGACGATAAGGTCTCGGGTTTGAATTCTGCGGATCATGACAGCGATAGGGTAATCAACCATAAATGGCAAATATAGATATCTCATGAAAATCTATGATTCCAATTTTTCATGAGATGAGTGAGTCTGCAAAGGCCCGGTGGAATTGTAAGCTACATATTAAGGCAAGCAGACAAGAGCTCGTCAAAGTGAGCGTCACCGATCGTAATGGGTTCCAAGCGCCATCTGGTATCCTTAATGGTGCAATCCCACAACCCATTTTGGATTGAACGGATAACTCGAGTAAAATTCCTATCACTTCTTATGCGGGAAATCGAGGTCTGTAGCGATTTGCAGAACCTATAAGAAATGGCTGTGGAAATAAGCAGCTGTTCAACGCTTTGCTACTGTATAGTCTGATGAAGACTTTGTTCACTACCCCTCCGAAAAAGGATTTCTAGTAACATTCCAAAAGGCAATGATTGTACTAGCACGAGGCAACTCTTCAACGACAGAAAGACAGCCGCTCTGATAAAATACGGATTCACGAGAAAACAGTACTACATACCTCTTCAGTCCTGTATATTTTGGCAATTAAAGTGCTAGG